CTGGCATCTTCTCTGGTGCTTGGGAACGGCTGCGCAGGGCCCGCAGAACTCGAGTCGGTAAGCTTCAAAAACACCCAGGCAGGGACGGAATGAACATAATGTACAATATTTAACATATATAATATACAATATATAATATACAATATATAATCTATAATATATGCAAAAATGGATCCCGAAGGAGCTGGCCAAAGGTCGCCAGCGTGGCGAAAGCTCCCTTCTTGAACTCGAAAAGAGCCGCGCCAGAGCCATTGCGCACTTTGATCGAGACCTCGAACCAAGTAGCTGCGGCGCTTGCCGACGCAAGGCGATCTGTATCGATCTGTTGCGATGCCAAGCTGCGGGAACCCCACCGTGGAAGGAGTCCGCCAAGGGCCTTGTCAAACCTTCAAAAAGTTAGTGCGGCTTGCATGCGAGGCAATTCAGGAACGGCATGCGGCGTTGATGACTGTGACGAAGGTGCTGCCAAGGGTCAAGGCAGTTCTCGCGGATGATGCAAGCAGTCCACCTCGGTAAAACTTCGCAGGGTGAGAGAAAGGGGGCATGTATTTGGAAAGTGGAAATAGCACCAGTATTGGCTGGAGGCACGTTCATGGCAAAACTTGTAGGGTGTACGTGTTCCGAAAGGTTGCCTGCCCTTAAATCCCTTAGGTTGAGCCTCCCCCAGGAAGGCTGCATGACGCTGGCTGGTGTGCAAAGGCCAGCCGAAGCCAGGAACGCTGACACCAGTCAGCCTGCACCAGCCACAGGAATGAGTCGGAATGAAGTCCTTGTAGCAAGATGCTTCAGACGTGTGACATTGCAGGAAAAGCCTCCTTCCCAACCAGCCATGTATATGACGTGACAAACATAGCAAGCACCAGAAGACCAGAACCTTATGATCCCGTGAAGCACACCTGAGCTTTGGCCCGGGCTCCAGCCACGGTGCTGCGTGGCGCGCCATGGCTTCAACAGATATTTCCCAAATCGCGCAGTCCGTTCCACGGCTGGAAGCTCGTGTTAGCAGCCTTCGTGCAAAAATGAAGTCGGGGCTTCACACTGGACTCAATTGGCTTGTCTCGAGCACGCTATGTGTGCAGAGCTGTGCTGCAAAGCAACGACACCCAAATTCCGAAAGCCTGCATCCTAGAGGACACGCCCAGTCGCAACCGCTAGCATTGACAGTTAACGGGAACTATGGACCCAACAAAACTTCTGCCTGTCGTCGTCGCGTCAAGAACTGACTTTTTTGTTGATGCCTCAGGCTCCGGCACGGTAGAGCATGGCATAGAAGCCATAATTCACTCCGTGCCTGGGACAGCCAAGGCCAATCTTGGCGGCTGCGAAGCCTGAACTAGTGCCATTCCGGAAAACAGCAGGAAAACCTGCACATCTCCTCCGGCTCGTTGGCGTCTGGCTGCACTCGGGTGAGGTGCCTCGTCCGGCAAGGACGCAGAAATGCCAGCAAACACGGGCACCACGGAACCCGAGAATAACCACCACACTTTTTTCTTTCACCGCGTATGGAAGTGTAAAGGTGGCATTCCGAGATGGTCCCCCCGAGCGAGTCGGGGCCAAATGCTCCCAAAGCCTCAGGCCCCTCTGGGAAATCCAAAACCGAAAACGATGTCGCACTGATGTGCCTGGCGAGAAAAGTCCCGCATCGTAGCGAGTGAGAGCGGGAACTCTCGGCCTCACCGCACACCACTCGGGCCGTCGGTGAGGGAGTACTAAAAGATAGCACTGGGGAAAGAAGTGAAAACCCTTCAGGAAGCGGTTGACACGGAGACGATGATCCGGAGCGAATCCCTGGCCGTCCGGGTGCATAAGCTCGTCAGCCCATTGGTTGAAGTCCCTCTTCACGAGAAAGGGCGCAAGGGTGAGGCCCTTGCGGTGCAAAAGGAGCATAGCGCATCTTTCTGGACTTGCTGTCGAGAGAGAAGAGAGTAGATGTTCCCCTGGTTGTCTGAGAGCAGGGGAATGATGGGAAGGCGCCTGAAGGCGTTCGTCCTTATCATTCTTTTCAATGAGGAAGGCTGTAGGGACTAGCGTTCCCAGCATCTCCAGGGCCGCGATGCGGCGCTTCGGGTGGCGTTCCTCCACGACCTCCCGAAGTGCCGGTTCCACAAACCTGGCATGCCGCCTCCAGTCCGACGACGCTCCGAACAGGAATCTTGGGGACTGCCAGACTCAATCAATCACCTGGTCCGCCTGCGCGGTGTTGTCATCATCTCCCAGGCTGAGGCGGGCCACCGTCTCCTGCATCTCCTCCAACTTGGCATAGACATCGTCCCTGGTGAAATGTTCGACGATCTCTGCCTTGTCGTCACTGGGGTCGGTCGTCACGTCACGGGTGCCAGGATCGCGGCGCCATCAATCTCCCGCAACTCCCTTGCTGCCGCAAAGTCCTCAACAACAGTCCAAGCTTCAGCGGGAGTAGCTGTTGCGGCCATGGCGAGCAAAGGCGAGCGATGGGATTTTTTGATGCAGGGACACAAGCAGCTTGAGCCAAAATGGCATTCGCCATTGTGACTCAAGCGTATTCCTGACATAAGGCATTGCACGGGCGCAGGCTGGTTCAATTTGCCATAATATCGGAGACTCAGCTCAGCTATCGCATAGTGCGGCTCAGGAGCGGGGAAATGCAGACACCATAGGGGCATTGCGACCGCAGTGAGATCACCTCCCAGTCGCATGGGGCCTTCAAGGTCCAACCAAGAACTTCTCAAAATCCCGCAACAACCATCAGTGTGCACCCTCAGCTGTCAGACATAGACTGCATAGCAACATCAGAGACCAAGGAGAGGTAAGCACTCCATGAAATCACAAGGGTCTGCTGTACAATTCGAGCGCGCACTGAAGTTTGCCAAGCCCAGGCGAGCTTCATGCACTCGCCTCGTGACGCAGCAAGCGGCGCAGCTTCAGCATGAAGTCGTCCTGTTTCAACCGCAGGCACTCGACGTCGTTATTCATCTTGCTACTTTCTCCATCGCGTCACTAATGATGCAGGTCCGGGTGTTCTTGTGGAGCTGCGACAGTGCAGCTCTTCGGTCTGCTGCATCGGGATACCAGATTACAAGGCTATTACAAGGCGCAAAACATTTTCGGATATGCCCAGGTAAGCAAACGAAAGCTCCTCCAAGGTCACATCATCTTCGAGGATGAGGACCACGGGCCTTGCAGCCGCGCACAGCAAGCAAGGACGGTGCAACTGCGCCGCCGTCATCATCGTGCCGAAAATCTCTCTTCCGAACCCAGGTCGTTCCGTGCTGGGTTCTGAGCTTCTCCAGGCGGTGGGCGTTGCTCGTTGCCTTCTACGCTCATGGGTGGCGTGTGAGTCCGATTCAGCAGCCAAATCCTGAGGGCCTGCCACATGGCCCGCAGATGAGCAGCTGCCTGGCCAGTGTCCAAGCACTCCAGTCTCTCGTTGAACGCAAGATGGACTGCTCCATGAGAATCTCCGACATTACACGATCAACGATTGCTGAGGGAGCGTCGCAGCCAATTGTGCCCCGCCCATAGTTGTCTAGATACCTGGGTCCACGTCACGTCTGAGCCTACCAGACTACCACACTCCATTGAGGAAACTACACCACGTCGAAGCGAAGAGCAGTTGAGGCCGGCCTCCTCGCTGTAGTCTCGCTGCTGTCCTTCAGAAGCCTGGCTTTCACTAGGCCTAGCAGTGGAACGTGTCATGACGTGGGGAGGGGGTCAAAGCCCATGGCAGCGTCTCACCGTGCTGCTGTTCCCAAAGAGGCTGGCTAGTGGCGACAGAGTTTGCAAACTGGTGCCGACTGCCAAGTCGGCTGGCCTTACCATGTTCTGCTTTGCAGCGGAGAAGTTCCACAGGCGGGGCACGAGGCCCTCCTGCATCTCTGCATGCTGCGACACGCCACTGTGGCAATTTACATGAGGTTCACAGAATCACCTTTAGAGTCGAAAATCAAGGCCTGCACATCAGTTTAGCACGGATTGGCCAGCATGGGCCAGGATGTGTAGTGTAGCACCGGAAAAGCTGCCGATGCCATCTGCAGCCGCCCCGTTGCAAAACGCCACGATGGGAACTCAATGCACCCAACCCCGGTACGGCTGCACTTTCAACGTCGAAGTGAAACCTCCGTAGTTACCACAAAACCCACTATGACTGCGCCAGAACTACACGGCCTCCTGCGCCTGCTGGATGGCTCCTGGCTCGGAGAGGTCGATCCCCGGAACGCGGTCTGCACTGATGTGAAGCTCCTGGAGCGGTGATTCCAATGTGGGCGACGGAATCTACGGAAGCAGGCAGCTGTCACGAATAGTTCCCGGGTCCTCCAGCCTCCTGCACAAGCAGCACATACCGGCATGCGAGAGACACAACCACATGTGCTAAACGGAAATGCCGTGTATGCATCCCTTATCATACTTGATCAGAGGCTTCTCGGAACGACTTCAGCAAGGCCTTGGCAACTTGACTACTGTCTGGCCGGTACGACATCATCATCCCTCGATACTTTCACGAAACCATCCTGAAGCCAAATGCATTGTGGACTGCGCCCTAGGTACAAGGCTGAGAGTGGCCGGGTGTGCTCACTTTGGAACCACTGCCTGGAGATTCGTGACCACCGGTCAGCTGCAGTTGGCAGGTTTAACACGTAGACGGCCACCTCAAAGTCGAGCACAAGTCATGCAAAGTGCCACAACTCTGCACTGTCAAAGAGGCTTTGCAGAAGCAGCAAAAAGCGGATGCCTGGCTCTCGGGACTTCGATGAGACATCTGAGGGTAGGGCATGCTGGTGAAACCAGAACTCAGCTTCGTGAGCTTCGATTTGGTAGTTCATGTACCTTACAGCTTCGGGCTAGAAAGGCTGAACAACATGTCAAAGGTAGACACTGCTGCGCCCTCTTCCTGCAATCGAGGGTCGTCTGCTCGTCCTGATCGCGCTCTTCGCGGTCGTCGGTGAGCACAGGCCCTGCAGCTCTTGCTCCAGGAATCCCGTGCAAACGCAAACTCGTCTTGTAGCTTTTGGGACGAACGGACTCTCTGGAGCCTTCAGGCGGCGGATCCGGCACAAGCGAAGCGCCTTGGTCTGCTACCAGTCCGTTTGGGCAATTTGTGTGTGTGTGTGTGCTTCAACACACTGCGACAATGTACAAGTTACCTTCCAAAGTATGTACCAACCAGAATGTACCATGTGCAGCTCGTGGGCACCCAATTCTGGCAGATCACAGCGCTCGGCGTCCTGAGAGGGTCTCTTGCACTTCACTGCAGCCTTTGAGCGAAGGGCCCAAGCTTCGCGCCCACAAAAGTGAGATAACACCCTCCGCAAGCCTGCAGCGCAGGGAAAGGCGTGTCGTCAAGGTCCGGAGCTTCCCTTGCAGGGCCCGTGAATGGTGGGACATGCAGGCTGCATGCACCGTCTGTTTGTAGAGATTCTACTCAGTATCTGACCTGCCCTGTTTCTGAGACGATAAACAGTGGCTTCTACTGTTCGTCTCCGGTTCCTCTCTTCCACGGGGCTATGTGTCCAACTGCACCGGTCAGCATCTCTTTCTTTCTTTCGTTCTGCAGGGCGCAGGGGTCGGTCAGCATCTCTTGCTTGCTTGCTTGCTTGCTTGCTCGGCGTTTGGGGTTGGGGAGGAATCCCCTTCCCCTACGCGCAAGCGCTACGCCAACGTCCCGTGTCTGCCTGTCGGTGTGAAACTTGAACAGCATCTCTCCCTCTCTCTCTCTCTCTCTCTCTCTACCAGGCATGGGGTTCGGGGCAGGTCAAGCCCCTCCCTCCCCCCGCACGCGAACGCGCACCTTCGGTCCTTGGCAGGTAATTGTTTCCTGGTGGGGGGGTTCGCCCCCCAGGCTCGGCTCCACAACGAAAGGCCGTGAAAGGAAAGAGTCCCCCAACCGATGGTAGCAAACAAGCAGCAACCACAGCGTATGCAAGTTAAGGACACTAAGGCTGGGACCTGAATCGGCGGGGGAGCTCTAGCGAAAAGGTTGGGGTGCTAGGCCAAAAACGTGCTGTTTCCCCCCGTTTCATTGAGCAGGTTTTGAGTTGCCGTTGGTGGAACGAAAAGCGAATTGAGGCTCTGGGCGTCCCCCGAATTCACCACTCTCTCTCTCTCTCTCTCTCTCTCTTTCTTTCCCAGGGTTTAAGGGGCGAGTAAAGCCCCCCGGCCAATAGGCCCCCCACCTGTTATGGGGCTTTCGGGGGTGTCTGGAAAGGTATGTTTGAGCTCTGATTTCGGATATTTTTGTTTCGGAAAAGATAACAACAACGAGACAATCACGAGTATCCCCCGAGCTCAAACGTTGCAGTTTCTGTGGACACCTGAATTATTGCCTTCCTCCACATGTGGTTCAGCACCTACGGGTAAAGCCACAATGAACAAGACTGCACAGTACATGTAGAGGATGACAGCTAAGGTGTACTTCGCCGGTGTGTCGCACCACAACAGTATCACGAGCTTCCTAAACATAGATGCATTAGAGGAGTCCCCCCGGCAAAGAATCACCTTCAGGTCTGCCTTTGTTAGGGCAGTCGAAAGTTCGGACTTGCTGTGTTCCCCGGAGGGGCTACTGTGTCAAGAGGCCGACCTTTACAAAAGTACAACACTGAACACATGACAAAATGTATCGCATCACTTTAGGCCCTCTTGAAGATCAAACATGGCTGGCATGACAGGTGTCTCAAAACAAACTCGCAGTATGCAAACAATCCTCAGGTAAATTAAATGCTGAGCTTCCGGCCATGCTGCGTTAAGCTAACAGGGGCAGACACCAGTCTAACGAAACAGCGGCGAAACAAGATAACCCAAGATTAAACAAGAGTGCAGGAGAAGTTTGGTGTCCCCCGATACAAGAAGAGTGCTCACCATCACTCTGTCAGTAGTGCTCGTTGTGCCGCTCACAGCTCGTTGGTCCCCTGCTGACATGGCGCTTCTTCTTCACGTCCCCCCGTGAAGGTGCTCGGCCAACATGCGTCGTCGTCTATGGCTTTGGGCCGACATGTCCCCTTCTTCGTCGGAGGGGCTGCGGGGTCGTCTTCGTGGTACCCCGCGCGGCGAAGTCGAGGCTCTTGCTGTGTCCCCCAAGCCATGGTGTCTTTCTTGGTACCACCAGGGCTCAGGCTGCCACTGTCGTTCCCCACCAGCAACTTCTTCAGGGGTGACAGCCGCTATCCCCCGCACGAGGTTCAGTGCAGCTTCCTGTATTGTCGGCAGCATGTGCGGCGGCCACGTTCTGACTTGACGCAGGAGGCTGCGCAGGGTCTCGACTGCTCTGTACCACTCCGGGGCAGCTTCAGTGTGCATCAGGGTACTGTTCCCCGCTCCACAGTCCAGAGATATCACATTCGCCGGGTGTGTGAGCGAGTTCCCCGTCTCTCTCTCTCTCTCTCGCTTCCCGGAGCAGGCACGTTATAATCTGGGAGTCAGATAGAGACTTGTAGTGAATATTGCTTCTGTGGCTGCAGATGTCATCAGCGTTGTTGCAAAGACTCGAATAGGAGGAGGAGTATTAGTAGGGGATGACACAAGACGACGACGACGACGACGGTCATGGCGACGTCGACGGCGAGTTCGCGACCGCGACCAGGAGGGCCCAGGGAAGGCATGAAAGCTTCTAGCAGCAGTGCAGCGTGCAGCTTGTAGCCTCAGCGAACGCTGCCGTGGATCAGACATTTTGCGGACAGCGACGAAACTACACACTCCTCACAAGCCAAGTGTGGCTTATAGCCACCTATAGCGCGAATAGCGCGAAAAAGAACAGTGTCTACCCCGGGCCCGACTAAGCAAAGATGGAGCCGTGAACCCGGGGTAGCATGCGTAGTGGGGGCAAGTGCTTCCACGTAGGCACCAGTGTTGCTTCGAGCACTGGCGCCCCCATTTTGTGAGGACAGGTGCAGTTCTGCACTTCTTCAGACAAGCACGGCATCCTGCTCAGAGAGACGGCGCTGGGACACCTCCTCCCCCGCGGCCTTTGCCGTCGCGGCCTTTGCCGTCGCGGCCGCCTTCTTCTTCTGCTCCTTGACCTTCGTCCGCTCCTCCTTGTACTTTGAGAAGGCCCCCAGATCCACGTCGCTCTTGCCACCGCTCCAGTAGCCGTTCTTGAACACGAAGAGGTACCCCACGCTGGCATCGTTCACGCATTTGTTGAAGGACTTCACGGCTGGGATTTTCTCCATTCCATCGAAGGTCAGAGCCTTCTTCTCTGCCTCTCCTCCGGTGACAATGTCTGCGATGACGTTCAGTTTGCCGAGCTTGACGGCGCGCTCCTCCTTGATTAGGCCCTTCAGGTCGCCTTCGTTGACCCTCGTCATGCCTTCCAGGCACTTGCCCAGGGGGCCTTTGCCGATGTACACCAAACCTTCCAGGTTCTGCTGCAAAATCCGCTCAACGACGCCGTACGTCGCGATCTTGCCCTCGGTCATACCCACGACATTGTCCATGCACATGTGGGCAGGCACGCAATTTGCGGCATAGCTATGGTCAGCATGAGCAGTGTTCTGAAGGACCATGAAATAGGAGCACTCAGGATTGGCCTGACTTGATCTCTCCTGTTCCCCCATTTTGCGGCAGGAAGTGTACTTGAAAACCTCATCTGCGATCTCAGCTTTCGAGCCGTAGACCGAGTTCATGTTGACGTCGTTCTCCACCTGCTCCGCTTCACCTGGAGCGCTGCAACACTCTCCCATCATTTCGAGCTTGCCATACCGAGGGCTTGCCTGGCGCAATGAGTCAGCTTTGTCCTTCAAGTTCATCCCAGCAAACTCCTGCCCCGTGAGAGAAGTCGCTTCGCGCAAGTATGCATCGCACAGCGCGATCAGTGCAAACGGAACGAGGTGGCCAAGCATGACTTCCAATCCGGAGTCGACGTCGAGGCTTCCAGCCGGAGAACAGGAATCAAGTTTTGAGCAGCTTGAGCCAAAACGCGCGTTTGCGCATCCCCATCCTTCATGTTCAGGGACGGACTCTGCTTTACGAAGCTTGTGCCCCCGCTTTTCGAGTATCGAGCCGAGCGGGCGTATATTATGATATAGTATAGTATATTATCGTAGACTATATTCTAGTATTGCATGCTATGGTATACTATAGTATATGATATGATGACCATCACACGGGTGCACCGGCCCCCGTGCATCCACTCTCCTACATCACTGTGCCTAACCTTTCCGCCTGATCCCTGCCCTCATCCCGAACAAGAAACCTGAACCGAGCGCACTCACCGCCTGTTACTGGGAGTCTCGCTTGCTTGCTTGGGGGGCCGAAACCCTTTCTTTCGCCAGGACTTTGGTGTGATGTCAAAGAGATTCGAAGTCCCAATTTCGGCCCCGCCTCTCTCGGCCTCTCTGCCCCTCTTTGCCTCTCACTCTCCATCGGTCGGCACATTAACACACCGAACAACCAATTGATACACATGACCTACTTTCAAAGCTGTATGTCCGCATGTACACATGACGTAACAATCGAATTGGCATCTAGCTTCTGAAGCTGCACTCAGATAACCTCGTCCAATTAGCATTACCTGCACCTCGCAGGGAGGAAAGTGTCCAGCTATCTCTGACCAGGAATACATCCGGATTACCATCCTCAGAAAACCTCTCACTCATGACATTTGTATACATTTGTCCACTCGGAGTCTAAACTTCTAAACCCGAAATGGTTCAGCATGAACCGCCGAGTAAACTAGAGCCGCCGGGCGGCCTGTCTGCTGCTGCCTGACTTTGCGCATCCTCTGGAACGTGGCGATTGTGCGGCGACGAAAGCAAAACGGCTTCCCGCCATGAAGTGTCAAAGCTAATCATGACCATCTCAAATCCGGATTGTCCTCCCAGGAGTGATGCCCGTAGCAGGCGTGGCGCTTCACCGCCTCGCAGCGTAGCTCACGTGGTAAGGAGGCTGACGAGAATCCCCACAACCGGAAGGCTTCAAGCCCTTATGTCAGGCCTCCCAGCACCAGTTCCGGCCCTTCCAGATCCAAGAGCCCTTGGAGGGTGTCTGCGTCTTGCCTTGGTATGAGGCTTTCGAGATGCCCCAAGATCAGCAAGGCAACCCGCGGCAAAGTCTGAAAACTCCCGAGGTCGGACTTTTGTACCTTTGCCAAGCGGCATTTCTCCAAGACCTTCGAAGGCAAAAGCTTCGCGAAGCTGCGTGCAGTTCCTGACAAAGCCGCGGGCGTTTTTTCCAAAGGTTCACGTGGGTCTTCACCGGATCATTTTTTATATCAAAGATTTACAAGCCTTGCCCAGGCTCTTACCAATCCCAGAACAAGGCCCGAGACGGCATGCGTGTCCTGCATAGAATCCCACGGAAGTCCGGCTGCAGAGTCCCCGCGCCCAGTCTGCTTCCGCAAGGCGCCTCCATCCGAAGGCTTGGGCTCAGATCCCGGTTTAGAGTTTTGGCTTTGGCTCTTAAGACTCTTAGTCGTGTTCCTCAAACGTATCGCATGTGCCCCTCAGGTCTGCGATGTACGAGCCGGCCTGCTTGGATCTGTCTCCGCCTGCACCGCATAGAACCTGCGGACATGTGCAGACTCCCACAAACAAACAAAAATAAATTCTGATTTCTGCATTGATGGCACGCGACTCACAGGACTCAACTCGCAGGCTCATGCCAGTACACCCCCATGCGCTTTGCAGAACAACGCGACGCCAAGCGGCAAGACCCAAGCGAAGCAAGCTGCAGAAGGCGCCCCATGGGCACCCATGCCATGTGACGTCAGGGTTCGAGGAAATCTGGAAAGGCTTGGAGGCTTAGCGGTTTAAGCAGTTGGCAGAATGGGAAGTGCTTTCGATTGCGCCAGCTTCGAATACTATCCGGTGAAACGGAAAGCTGTGGGGTTCAAACAGAATGTTGTCATCACATGTTTTGCCAGCACACACGCATCAACAAATCTGAAGCTGCCTGCGACTCCTTTTGCGACATCCGCTTGCCCGCAGGTTTGCGGATTATCCAGCAGGCGGCCGATTCGGAAACATCACGCGACAAAACCGCAATCTGCGACGGTGTCGAACAGAAACGCGAGCAATAAAGGCAGAAGCAGTCGTCACCATTCACCATTGTAACGACTAGCGTCACCATCCTCACCTGTCCATCTCTCTCGCAGCGCAAACGTCCATAGTCGTCCAAGCAGGCACCATCACCACTATTATCAGTCTTATCGCTGAGCAGAAACAGCAGCATCGCCATCATAATTATCGTCATCACTACCGTGAGCCGTGAGCAGAATAACTAACGTAATCAGGAAAGCAATGACAGAACAGCCACCATCACAACGACAATGGCATTCAGAGCACAAATATAGAAGAGTTCTACAATGCCGCTTTCAAGAGAGGACCGTTTCCGAGTTGAATCCTGGCCCCCTGCCGGGCAGTGACATTGATAGGCCTCCGGGGGATTGTATGCAAGTTCTGTGCGCCAAATTCAGTCAGTCGGTCGGCGGTCGGCCGGCCGGTCAGTCAGTCAGTAGTCCGTCAGTCGTTTGTTGCTTCATTCATGGATTCGACCATCCCCTCACATGCAGGTAATACCGTACGAATGTATGTTTTGCAGGCAGGCATGGTGTATGTTACTTCATTGTGTATGTTGCTTGTGGCGCGTGTGCGTACATATGTGGAAACATACAAATATACAGACGTATATACATCTGTGTACCTGCCAATCTGTACACCCATACATCTATGCAGCCATGCATGTATCTATGCAAATATACATCTGTCAATGCATGTGTACATGCAAGCATCATTTTTCTGTGCAAATACACGGACAAGTATACGTAATTAAGTGAAAATGTGCTTTTGCCTGTGTATAGTAGATATTCCAGGTATGTGTGCTTATTGTGTGTGCGTGTGTGGAAATCCTGTTGCTAGGGAATTTTTCGCATCTAGCTGCAGCAATCTTTGTATGTAAGTTGAAGCATGCTGAAGTTCGTTGGGAGTTTTTGCATTATCAGAGCAGGGGAGCTGGCTATCCATGCAAGTGCCAGTCCACCGAAGAGGCTTGCTTTGGATACTGATATCCTGTCTGATCAACCTTTTCACATTCTGCCTAGCTTATAGTCTGGGCCTTGAGACCATCAATGTTCGGTGTCTCGCTATGCAACTAAAGCATCTTGTCTTTCCAGCTTCCAGGGCCCCGTCGTGCTAGGTTGTAGTGATACATGAAAACAAAAGACACAACAAAAGACAAGGTCTTCTTGAAGACAAGAAAGAAAAGTTGACAACCGGTTCCAACCGGCATCTCTCTGCGTGCGTGTGTGCGTGTCTACGTACGTGTGTGTGTGTGTGTGTGCATGTGAGCTATCTACATATACAAACACACGTCCAGCTCGTACCTCTGCAACAGAATTCCTGATCACAGCTCGTGTTGACCTCTGGTCAATGTCCATCTGCTGCTGTTTGGTTGTCTGTGTTGCTGTAGCCACACCCACTTTCAATGCCTCCTTCTAGGTGCTCTAAATGTATGAGTGTATGTACATACGTGCACATACAGCCCTGCAAATCTACCAGTATATGTATATGCAGTGTGTGTATGTATGTATGTATGTATGTATGTATGTATGTATGTATGTATGTATGTATGTATGTATACATGCACGCATGAATATATGCGCATATACATACACATAATGAATATTATGCCCTAGCATACCATACCATACTTACCATACAGGTGTATTCGTACATTCCCCATGTGTATGGGCATATACATCCACAAATCCACGAATACTTACACACGTGCGTACACATGCACACGTTTATGCCTGCCTACCTACCTACCTACCTACCTACCTACCTCCCTGCCTACCTACCTACCTACCTACCTACCTACCTCCCCACCTGCCTAGCTGCCTAGCTGCCTAGCTGCCTGACTACCTACGCACCTACTCTTTACCTGCCTAAAAACATGCATGCATACATCGCCGTGGAGGCCCCTGAGCTAGAGCAGGTGGGCCATCTTGGACGGCCGGACTCGCACTTTGGCTCAGCAATGAGACAAGCTCCGCAATAGCATGTATGCAGCGGTCATCTACAGCACAGTAACTGCTTTAACTTCTTGCTGCATTATTGTAGAACGTACTTCTAGGATGAATGTTTGGCGACTCACTCACTTCTCCTTGTGATACTTCTTCGACTCCATAAGGTCTTCCCTGCGCTCTAGATCAACGCTGCTTCGCCCGCCGGTGCTGCCGACAAACAACTTCGTGGTCCCTGGCGCATTTCCGAAAAATCGGTGACAGCTTTGCGGCACTTCATGAAGCAATTGCGAAGGACATCTGGCCGTGCCTGAGAGGTACCTCTGCCACGAGGCGGTTTCCGCCGACCCCATCCGGATATCGGCCTGGTGAAGGCTCATTGCACGAACACTGTCATCACTGACGGGCTCAGCCAAGGCCAGACAGCGCAACTGTCTGCAAACTGTGGCCAGCATCACAAGCTTCTCGGCTTCACATCAGCATGCATTACTTCATTCGTGGCCCCGCGAGTCCACTGCACTGGCAGCACATGTGACTCCACCACCCTGCTCAGCAGACTGCCAGACAGCACCAGCTCGTCCGGGTCGCTGAGAGGCGACCTTAGCGAGACATCAGCAAATCTGGCATTGTCCATTCCAGGCGTGTGAGTGCATACGCACAGATCCGAAACTCTGCAGCAGCTCGGCGGTCCGCGGCTGATCGAGGGGGGCATGCGCTTGGCGGTGGCACACCTCATGATGCCTGTTGCGATCGGGAATGCCAAGACTACTGTGAGTTGAGTATGTCATTGCAACCTCGTCTAGTCGTTATGAAAAAGACCTGTATACCTGCAAATCCAGGCAAAGATACACACAGACACAAGATGGTACCTGCTTCAGAGTAACGTGCCACTCTCCCAACGTAATCTCAAGGCAAAAAGGCAACAAGGCCTCAAGGCGACCTCGGCCACAGGTCGACCGGAAGGGCCTGAAGCTGCG